TGTTGGTTTATCATAGATGGCTTTGACCAGCTTGAGGTAAAGGCCATCTAGTCCTATTTTCTCTAGGGTTTTCAACATGAATGAGTGTTGGAGTTTATTGAAGGCTTTTTCTGCATCAATGGAGATGATCATATGATTTTTGTCCTTGACTCTATTGACATGGTCTATTACATTGATTGATTTGCATATGTTGAACCATCCCTGCATTCCTGGTATGAATCTCATTTGGTCATGGTGTATAATCTTCTTGATGACTTGTTATATTCTGTTTGCTAGTATTTTATTGAGAATTTTTGCATCTCTGTTCATTAGGGAGATTGGTCTGTAGTTCTCTTTCTTGGTTGGGTCTTTCTCTGGTTTTAGTATCAGAATAATACTTGCCTCCAGGAATTACCTGGGGAGAATGCCTTCCCTTTCAATTTCATTAGAGTTTGAGAAGAATTGGTGTGAACTCTTCCCTAAATTGCATGTAGAATTCAGCTGTGAATCCATCCGAATCTGGGCTTTTCTTCATTGTCAAGTTTTTAGTTACATTCTCAATGTCACTGGCTGATATTGAATTATTCAGGATTTTTATATCTTCTTTCAGCTTTGGTAATTCATATGTATCTAGAGATCTGTCCATTTCCTCTGTGTTTTCCACCCTATGAGAGTAAAGATTTTCAAAGTAGGTATTGAGGATCTTCTGAATTTCTTCAGGATCTGTAGCGATTTCACCCTTTCATTCCTCATTGCATGTATGTCAGTTTTTTCTTTCCTTTTTTAGATAAGGTTGGCTAGGGGTTTATCTATTTTATTTATTCTTTCAAAGAACCAACTCTTCGATTCATTAATACTTTGTAATTTTTTTTAGTCTCCATTGCATTAATTTCTGCTCTGAGCTTTATAATGTCCTGCCTTCTTTGGGCTCTGGGTTTGACTTGCTCTTCTTTTTCTGGGAAGTTGAGGTACAGCATAAGATTGTCTCTTTGTGCTTGTTCTGTTTTCCTGAGGTGGGAGTTCACTGCTTTAAATTTCCCTCTGAGGACTGCTTTGATTACATCCCACAGGTTCCTGTAGGTTGTATCTCCTTTTTTGTTTGTTTGCAGATAGTGTTTAATCTTTACTTTGATTTCATCTGTGGCCCATTGGTTTTTTAGGAGGATGTTATTTAATTTCCAACTGTTTATGGAGTTTCTGTGTTTTCTTTTGTCATTAATTTCCAATTTCATTGCACTATGGTCTGATAGCATACATGGGATAATTTCAATTCCTTTGCATTTACTTAAATATGTTCCATGTACTAGTACATGGTCCATTTTAGAGAGTGTCCCATGTGCAGCTGACAAGAGTGTGTATTCTGATGCTGTTGGGTGGAACACTCTGTAAAGGTCTACTAAGTCCATATGTTCACATGTTTGGTTAAGTTCTTTTATTTCTTTCCCAATTTTCTGTCTAGTTGATCTATCTCTTTGTGACAATGGTATGTTAAAGTCCACTGTTATGATTGTGTTGTGACATTTCATTTTTCATGTCTGTTAGAATTTGTCATATATAGGTGAGTGCTCCTATATTTGTTGCATAGATGTTTATGATTGTTATCTCTTCCTCTTGAAGCTTCCCCTTCACAAGTATGTAGTGACCCTCTTGATCTCCTTTCATTGTTCTTAGTTTGAAGTTCATGTTGTATGCAAACAGAATAGCTACACCCGCTTTTTGCTGGGTTCCTTTTGCATGGAGTATTGTTTTCCATCCTTTAATTTTCAGTCTCTGAATTTCCTTTTGAGTTAAATGTGTTTCTTGTATACACCATATAGTTGAGTTTTGTTTCCTAATCCACTCTGCAAGTCTGCTTCTTTTGGTTGGTGCATTGAGACCATTTACATTGATAGTCATAATTGATATGTACTGGCTTATCTTTGTCATGCTCTTTTCCTGCTGTTAGATCCTCCTTTTTTCCTCTGTTTGATTGCTTGCTCTGCTTGTTGGTTCCTTTCTATTGGTATTCTTGAATTTGTGGTCTGTTTTATCTCTTTCTAGTATATCTTTTAGTACTCTTTGTAGGATTGGTTTGGCACTCATGAATTTCTTCAGCTGTTCTTTATCACAAAAATATTTTATTTCTCCATTAAGTTTGAAAGATAGCTTTTCATGATACATCAATCTGGGTTGGAAGTTGTTTTCTTTCAGTACCTGAAGTACTTCACCCCAAGCTCTTCTTGCCTTGATGGTTTGTGTTGAGTAGTCTGTGGTGATTCTGATAGGCTTCCTTTTATAGGCGATCTGTTTCTTTTCTCTAACAGCTTTGAATATTCTGAGCTTTTGTTGAGTTTCCGGGATCTTGGTCAGTATATGTCTGGGTGTGGATTTATTTTGGCTATAATTAACTGGAGTCCTATGTGCTTCACTTATCTGGATGTCCAATACTTTTACCGTGCCTGGGAAATTTTCTGCTTTTATTTCTGCAAATAGTCTTTTCATATCATTTGTGTTGACACCTGCTGTTTCATTAATAACTATTAATCTGACATTGTTTCTCTTTGCTTCGACTTGCAGTTGTTGAATTGTTATTTCCTGGTTCCTTGTTGTGTTTAAGAGATCCCTCCTTTCATGTTCATTAGTGGCAATGCTGTCTTCAAGGTCTGAAAGTCTATCTTCAGCTTTGTTCCGGCAGTTTTGCAAGCTTTCAATGAAGTTTTAAGTTCCTGGGTATCTGTTTGCATCTGTTTCATACCTTCTAGTTCTTTTCTATATTGTTCCCTGAAGGGTTCATTGAGTTGTCTTTGCTCTTTTACTTTCTTGTCTATGTCATCTTTGGATATGCTGAACATTACTTTCATTATTATTGTCATTTCTTTTCTCATCTGAGCCATTCTTTCTGATCTGATGTCTTCTGTGGCCTGATAGATTTGTTTCTTTACTTGAGTTGCTATCATTTCAGAAATTTCAGGTGTATGACTTCCAGGCTTTTCTGTGTTGATGCCCCTGGACTTGTTTTGGGTGGTGTGGAAGTCTGGGATTGCACTTTGTTCCTTTGTTTTGTCATTTTTGAAGAACCAGAGACTCCCTGTAGTGCAGTCTTTCTGTCCTGATTGTGTGTGAGTGGCAGGGCAAGAGTCTGAAGATCCCCAGTGCTCAGTGTAGCTCCTGTGTTGTTGAGTGGTGGCAGCCCAGCCTGGGCTGACACAATATGGGTGTGGCGGGTAACCACCGAGCCCCCAGAGGGTGCCCGAGATTTCGCCTGCCTTGCATGCTGGTCAGGGAGGCAGAGCCCAGACTCACCGGGCTTCCTCTCCTGTTTTTCCTGCTCCTACCTTTAGTGCCCCTGTTGTCTGTGCTCAACTCAATGTTAAGTGAAATTATTTTAAATACATATAAGCATATGTCTACTTCATTCAAACCTTTCTAGTAATAACTAATTTCACATAGAAGATAGCATCTTAATTATTTTTTATAATACAGACTCTACACAATTGATAGCATTTTAAACATTTTAGGAATTTTTAAATTCATAACAATTCATTGTGCTCTTATGGCAAAGGAGTCGATATTTTATAACCTACAGTTCAAGAAACAGCACTTATCTGTAAAAGTAAATATCCTATTGAATATTACCTTGAATTAGAGAATTTTTATCAGAAACTACAGCAAACATAAAGACTTGTATTCTGACAACAATGAAGTGTATAAAATCACATAGAAGTATCACATTAGTAAAAAGTATCACATTAGTAAAAAAGAAGATTATATATTTTGTTTTGTTCATGTTTTGCAAAATATTTATCTTCTTTTGAAAGAACAGATAATCTATGAGAATAGTGCTTGTTGTTTTTGGTTCCTTGTAAAAGAATACACAACATATGTATTTAAAATAACTGTGTGCTAAATGCACTTTAACTACATTCACTTAAAAGAATAATTCCAATATTGGAAATTTCAATTTAAGTCAGAAGAAAAGCCCTACTTCAGAGGTATCCATTTCCATGTAGTAAATCAACAGCATCAGCAACAGCTCTTCTGTGCTGCACAAAGCACCATCTGCACCCTTTCCAAAGTGAGCTTACTGAGCAGCTGGGAAGTTGGTAGGACTTCCCACCAGACTGCTTAAACTTCTTAATTGCATGGTGGCTTTTTCTAGTGCATGCATTCCAAATCGCATAAAGTAGAAGCTGTTACTTCCTTAAGGACTTGGCCCAGAAATCAGTGCAACCAACTCACTGTATTCTCCTGGTCATGGAGTCACAGACCAGGACTACATTGAAATTCGGAAAAAAACCCAAAAACTCCACCTGTCCCTTGAAGGAAATGTTAGTTTTTGCAGTTATGTTTAGTCTACTACAAAATAACTGCCTGAACAAATGAGGTCTATTTTTAAAAATACATATATGCATATATATACACACACACACACACACACACACACACACACGAAGTAGAAAACAATATTAGTGTATTAGATTATTAAATGTGGTTATTTCTTAATATGGCAAAATCCAAGAGCAATTAGTGAGAGTCTGAGAGTATTGCTCCAGGAGACCAAATACAAACACAGCTTCTTTCTACCATTGAATGATGATATATTCTTGGATTTGATCTTCTGCCATCAGCTTGGGGGAAGAATAAGAGTGCCATGGCCAGTCACCACACAAAGTCCTCATTTCTTAATTCTAACGCATAGGGATTTTTATTTCCACATGTGAACTTCGGAGGGAAACACAAATATAATAGCTGCTCTCAAGTTATGGTTGTATGGTAGAAACCTATACATTCTCACTGGTAAATTTTATGAAGTCTCCTGTATTAATTAAGTAAAAGACTAGATATAATTTAAATTTTGATATTTCAAAAATTTGCTTTCTGATTAGGTTTTTTTCATGACAAGCCCGGTGCCAGACAATTACTCATCTATCTCATCTCCTAAGATATGCACGAGCACTCTCTAGCACTATTTGAGAGTTTTGGAATCCTAGCACTTTAGCCTGTTTATGGTACCATAAAAATTTCACAGACTGAGCAACTTGTAAAGGACAGAAATTTATTTCCCAATGTTCTGGAGGCTGCTCAGTTTGAGATCAAGGTGCCAGCAGATTCTGTGTGTGCTGGGATTTCAGTCTCTGCTTCCAAGGTGGTCACTTGAATGATTTGTCCTCCAGAGGATAAGAGAGAAATGCTATATCCTCAAAGGTCAGAAGATGGGATGGCAAGGAGGAGGAACTTCCTCCATTTATAAAACAATCCTGTTAATGAAGAAGGAAGCATCACAAAGAAAATTTACCTTATTTTGAAAATCACATTATCTATGGCAAGAGTGGTTATTATTATTTTTTTCAAAAATATGCAATATATGAGATCAGAATATCTGTACAGTAAAGGTAGTGTAAATACACTCATTTAGGGAAAATGTAAATCCAGAAGTGGAAATTTTGATTTAAGTAGGAAGAAAAGCCCTCTTCCAGCTTTCTGTTTCTATATAGTAATTCAACAGCATCAGCAACAGCTCTTCCCTGCTGCACAAAACACCCATTGGAACTCAGACCAGGCAGGAGGAACACTTCTTGATCTCCTTCCCCTTTCATAGGATCTGAATAGTTTATTTATTTATTTATTTATTCATTTTGGGTACCAGGAATCAAACTCACGACTTTGTGCTTGCCAGGCAGGCACTTGTGCTGCTGAGCTATATCCCCAGCTGTATAGTTTCGATGAGGTTTGAGGATTCTTGTGAAGGAAGCGTTGTCTTCTGGGTTGACAGATTGGAACCTCTAAGTGGTGAAAACCTAGTGGGACATTTTGGAGGCCCTGCCCTTAGAAGGAAATGCATAGATGTCCCAGGATTCCAGTGAATTCTTGGGATAATGACTTGTTATCAAAGAGAATAACTAGTTGCTCTTCTCTCCTGCTTCCTTCCTCACTAAAGAATCTTTCACTCATACATGCACCTCCACTATCGTGTTGCCATCATACCTGACGTAATGCAGTTGGGGGTAACTCAATAGAGCTAGCAGCGCGATGTTTAGAATTTCAGGGATAAAACTGTTGTAATTTTGCCAGCCTTACTTATTTCATTATATTAGTGGAAAATGGGTTAATACACTATCACATTGGCAACACTTCAATTTTGGAAGACACATATTCAAACCACAGCGCCTCTTTTGTACAACAACCAGACATCCTGGAAACTCCAGTCTTATCTCATTTTTAACTGTATATTTGGCTATCCCTTATCTCCTGGCTTCTGTCCTCATTCGCTGTCTCTCATCATATATAGAATATAATGCCTCTGATGCTCAGGCTGCACTAAAATTAATTCATGCTGACTTGAACTTCTTTCTATGACTAGACTAGCAGTTATTCTCAAAGTGTGGTCCTCAGACCAGTAGCAGAAGCACAGCTTGAGTATTTGCTAGAGAGAACAATGTATTGGCTACATCCTAGACCTACCAAACCAGGAGCCCTGATAAAGGAACCCAGTAAACCAAATTCTAACACTTGTTTTGGATGACTTGCACATCATGAAGTTAGAGAGCCAATGTGCTAGCTTATACTGCTTCCTACCTTTCTATAGCCATAACCAGTGAGATACTTCATTCAGCTTTCTGTGTTCTTGGTAACTTGAGTTCCTATCAGTTTCTCAGAAAACAGTCCCTGTGTTAATCTCATTGCTTAATTTGTATTAGTTCTAGTAGGAAGTAAATTAGAAAACTTGCTGCAGCCTATTTAATACCTAGAATAAATTCTGAGATCAGCTTTTGTTAAAATCTATTATTCTATACCTTCTATGACAAAAGCGGTTGTACTTATTTTTCACATTTTTTTCCTTTGGACTTTGCTGCCAATTTTGTTATTTCTCAATTTAATACTTAATTACTTCTCTTTTTAAAAATCTTCTTCCAAATGATGGTGTAGAGTTTTAGCAATCTTCCAATTTATACATCTCTTCACTTTTACATTGATGCTCACAGATGATAATCATTTGATTATAAAATTTTAAAATATTGCTTGTGTGTAAAGCCACAGGTATTAGACAAATACAAACAAAAATGATGTAATTATGCTTTGTGAAAATACAAGAAAAAATTTTGAGAGGAGAACTTTGAATTCTTGAATTTAACTTGAGTTTTTGTTTGTTTAGACCTAAAATGACTTTCTCTAAGTTAATACTAGGAAAGCCAGCACAACATTTGCCATACGGTGATTAAACATATTTCTCTGAACTTTTCCTCTGAGAGGAAAATTTAACAATAGGGGAAATGCATTATAAATGGTGTTTTTGCTGCTGCACAACAAGGGATTCATTTTAAGCTTGAGATCAAGCAAACAAAACATAGCAGAGCTATTTCACTAGAAGGATTTAAAATACCCATACTACCACCTAGCAGAGGCTGACATTTACAATAGGAAATACACATGCGTGTGCGCGCATACACACACACACACACAGTGTTTATGTTAGATAAAATAAGACTTCTATGTTACAGTCATTTCCTTTAAAGGCAAAAGAGATAGCTAATTTTGAGAAAAGGATCCTAAATTCAAGTATGTGATCAATTCATACACACTGTTTTCTTACAAGACTCACAAAGACAAAGCATCTGCTGAAGTTAGTGATGAGCTCCTTGAAGCAAGTAGACATCCTGGCCGAGACGTCCAAAATGGAGCAATGGCAAACAGTTCAGAAAAGGATCTCAGCTCTACCTGAAGAAATCCAGCCTCTTTGTTTATGAGCTTTCACCAAAGTCTTCAAGGTTATTTCTACAATGATACAAAACACATCTTAGAATATTCTTTAATTTGTTATATACTAGATATAGAATGAAATCTTTGCAACATTTTATTTTCTGACAGTAGAATCACTCTCTTTATGTCATTTTGGTGTCTTTGTAAAACCCTAACATATATAGCCTCTCCAGGTTTATAAAATTTAGCTATGTGACCCAGGTGAACACAAATTTGCTATGAAGCATTTAGATTTGACAAGAAAACAACTTTCAGGAATTGTTTTAGCAGAATTTTATTTTTATTCCAAAAATATAAACTCCTTGGCTATTTCTTGCTACCCACTGAGCTAACTCAGGCCGTTTAACTGTGCACCAGTCAGATATTGTCTTTGCTTTTACTTTTCTGCTTTATATCATAGTGGAGGAACAATGAAAAACATTGTAAACAATATAAAATAATTAAAGCTATTAGAGAAAATATGGAAGTGTAAAGTAGTTAAATGTAAAATTGGAGGAAGATGAATCTAACAGGTTATTTGTTTTTTGGGGTTTTTGTTTGTTTGTTTGTTTGTTTGTTTTTTCTTCCGGTACTGGCAATCGAACTCACTACCTTGCACTTGCCGGGCAGGTGCTGTGCCTTGAGCGAAATCCCCAGCCCCCTCTAACAGGTTATTGAGGGCAAAAATTTTAAATAAAAAATCTAAATAAACTAAGAATTCAGAGATGTGACTACAAACCAATACTACAGAAAATGAGATCAGTTTACAAAGCCACATGTTTAAAAAGCAGCCTGGCAGCCTGGGAGAGAGAGGAAATGGATCATATTTGCTCTTTAGAGCACGGTGAAAAAATCGTATTTTACTTTATTTAGATAAAAACCTAAAAAAATTAGACAGGAACATTAAATGACTACACTTTTATCAGATCATTTGGAATCATGTAAGGAAAGGAAAAGATGGGATGACTTTGAACATAGGTACAAGTCACCTGACATGCGTGACGGCTCAGACAAAAACATTTTATAGCCAGAATATGGGTAGTGACAATGGAAGTAGAATTATGGAACTGAAAAGCTGAGAAATCAGAAATCATTAAATATAACTAGAAAAGAGATAAGAAAAATCTATAATTTAAAATAATGTACTTTCAAGAGTGAAATTTAAGCCACAAAATTATGCATAGTTTCAATATCTATACTCTCTAGACTTATTTATGCTGCTTTTCTTCCAGTCCTATCACATACAAAATCCTTTAAAAATAATATAAGCTAAAATAAAAAAAAAAGAAAAAAGAAAAAATAGTATAGGCTTAGTTCATAAGGTAAGGGGCAAGAACCTGACCATAAAGAAACAGAGTCAAAGGCATCAGAGAATGCCACCAGGGAAATATTTTAGACCACACATCCTCCAACAGACAAACAAACAAAATAATAAACAAAATTGAAAACACACAATAGACAGGGCCCATGATTTTTTCCTGTAAGTGGGCCACCCTTTCACCTCCCAAATGTGTGGTGGTCTTACTATTTCTATCTCCTGCAAACCAAGTCCAAACTTTTTACAATTTAAAAATTTCACAGAATTCTACGTATAGAACATACAAATATCCATGATGTAGACTATGGTACACTTCTTTCCTGAAAGCCTGTACTCTATTTCTTTGTGAATATACTTTTACAATTCTGCCTAAGAAATCTCTTTTGCCTCTCAAAAAAGGTGAGAATTTGAGTAGGTGAGTACAAAAAATAATCCTATGGATTTTCAACATGGACGGACAATGACTCTGATTAAAACAGTGTTAATGGGTGAATGAGGCGGCCAGGCTAAAAGTTTAGAGAAGGTCATAAAAATACTGCAATTAAAATATGCATAAGTACTTCAATGTTTAATGTTCTTGGGTGAATTATTAAAATATTATACAAACAGTAATCTTAGAGAGGACAGGATCATACCTGCCATTTTAGAGCCTAATGAAGATTTTGGATTTTAATTTACAGTTTTTCTTTTTTTACAGTTTTTCTTTTGTACCAGGAACTGAATTCAGGACCTTGCATTTGCCTGGCAGGTGCTTGTACCACTGAGCTACATCCCCAGTTGGATTTCATTTTAAATGCAGTAATGTTACCAGGTTTTGGGTGCTGGAATCTTTCTTGAGGTGGTTTCTAGGTTCTTTCTGTCCTGAGCAAGAAAGTGGTCAAGATGAATGCAAATGGTGACATAAGTTTAGATTTATTAAAGGTAGGAAAATAAACAGGACCTGCGGAGCGAGTTTGGACCAAGTAAAAGTAGGAAAATGAGTGCACTGTACAGGACAAGAGTGGGATGCTCTGAGAGGACACTGATTCTGAGTTCAGTGGCCACTATCTTTTTGTATTTTCTAAACCTCAGGTTGGCATCAGGTCTGGGTCATCCTACCCAACACTGCTCGAGTTCTCATGGGAAATCCACTTGCAGGGACTGAGGGAAGGGTTCTGTGCTTGTGCCCTGGAGCTTTGCAATTAACAGGTCAAATCTAACCAGTCTGCCATGATTTAATCTTCTGCCTGAATAGGAGCCAAAATGTTTATCAGGAATATTACCTGATACTATTTACATTCTTACCAGGTTATATGAGATGATGTATTGGAACAAAAACGTGGGATAGATATTGAATTACAGCACAGTATCAGGTATAAATTATAAGGAAGCCAGGTGCAGTGGTGCACACTGTCTCAATCCCAGCAATCTGGGAGGCTGAGGCAGGAGGATCACTGTGAGTTCCAAGGCCAGCCCGAACTGCATAGTGAGATGTTGTCTCAAAATAAAGTAGTATTGTTTTGGTTTTGGTACTGGGGGCTGAATCCAGGCCCTTCACAATGAGCTACATACTCAGCACTTTTTTTTCCCAAACAAAATCATGCTAAGAGTTTCCAGGCTGGGTTCAAACTTGTGATCCATCTACGTCAGCCTCCCAAATTGCTGAGATTAAGACAGGAGTTAGAATTGTCTTAGGCAGTAAGGGCAGTGCCCCCAAAATGAAGTTGGGAAACCCAAAATATAACCTGCTGGGTCACTACTCTCCAGATATCTTTCAGAAACACCTGTCAGATGTCTGTGGCTATCAGGGACCTTCCCAGCACATGATGAGGCAGGCCACTAGCTCAAGGAGGCACACACCTTGCTCGTGCACTGCATGAACACGGCATAGATTGGGCCCTGAAATGTGTGTGGTCTTCAACAGCACAGAGATTGTACTGCTTGCCCAATAGCCTACACTCCCTTCTAAAGCCCTGAAAAACTGTTAGAGAAAGACCTTCTTCAGTATCCTGCTCAGGACCCTATCCCAACTAGGAGGAGTTCTACTTCTTTGCTTTTATAACTTTAACTACCTTGCCTTTGTATCTTTTACTTAAATTTGCTTGTTTTCTACCTCCTCCATCAGTGATTTCATTGACACCTTCGGAAGCAACTTAACATCCCAACATCCGATTTCAGGTGCAGACCACCGTGACGTATGAAAAGCAGTACTGCCTTAGAACCTCATAACTGGGGCTATCAGGCTTATAAGGGATTATTCTAGTCAATTTTATTTCAATTTAGATAATACAGTTTGTGCTCACCATAAGCAATTTACCATTCACGTTAAAGAAAGGTTCTGCTATGAACGATTTGGTGTAGAGTTCAAAAACGCTAATATAGATGAATATCCAACCTGAAAGTACGATTCCCATTTTAAGGTCTCGCCTTTAATTAAGACCTGCTGTTCCATGAAACCACAACTGACCACACACACTGCTTGGGTCTCAGAACCTTCAATTTCAGAGTTCGAAAGGGTATCCATGGCCTTTTCTGTTCTTTAGATCATTACTCTACCTTCCTTTTTGAAAAATCCTCCTCCTCCTCTATTCACCTTAGCTTCTGCTTTTTCCTATTCATTACCATACCCAGTTGTCATCCATCGAAAATTTTACCTCAGGACAGAGTTATCTACTTCATTCCATATTCTGGTACCGTTCTGCTGAATAATTTGCAGCCGTATGCACAGCCTCAAACAGGGAAAATGATTACATAGCGCTCTGCAAACACGAGAGAGTTTTCCTGAGAGAGGCCCGCACATAGAGGGGCTCACAGAGTCAGGACTCTCAGCAGATATCTCATCGAAATTCACATTAATGTTCTTAATTGTGGGGATTTGTTTAATAGTGTCATTCCAGCATATTCCAGAATCTGTCATGCGGGAGAGCAAGGGTCTCTTATTGTCTGTTCTTTTGTTTGTGTGGTTGCTTTGTTTCTCTTTATAACCCCCAGGCCGAAGATGGCAGCACAGAATAGGGGCTCAAAGGACATCTGTTGAAGAATATATTAAAAAGCTAATTAAATAAGTGTAACATAAAAATTAATAAACATAGGGCAGAATGCTAATGCTTCTAATTTTATATATTTACATTTGCTTTTATTCCTTTACTTTGCAAAATAGTTGAAGCAACTTACTAGGGAATATATAACAAAAATTAAACAATTATACCGAAGAGAGAATGTTAAGCTAATATACAGCTCTTGAACTGCTTCTAGCAATTGGCCACAATTTAGCTCTGGGCCTCTTGCAAAAATAAGCAAAAGAGGGAGAGGTGAACATCTGTAAGTGTCCTATGTTTTATAACATGAAAACAAAACAATTGCTCAAATCAGGTTGGCAATTTCCTACTAAGAGAAAAAAATAGTCTCGCACATTCTCATGAAATAGAGATCCATGATGTGTATCATCTAACTGTCTCTATTTATTCATGGTGCTGTGATCTGAATCCAGGGCTTTCACACTGAGAGATACATGATTCATAGATTGATAAAAAATATAAATATGTAAGCAAATAAGTAAATAAATAAACTCTTCTTCTCCTTCTAATCTTCCCACTTCTCCTATTCCATCAAGGAAACACAAGGAAAGGAGCACATGTCCATGTATGTGTCTCTGTATTTACACAGAACAAAATTGGAGTAACTCCATGCGTATCACTGTACTTTTCTTCTTTCACAAAGCAATATATTTTCAATTTTTATATCATAATATATATAACATAAACATATAAAAATAATGAAAAGGTTTTTGTTGATGTATATTTATTTAGTTTTCAGTTTACTGTTACAGCAATGAGTGATGTTGTGTATGTTAATATACCTTTAAATATTTTCACACTGTGAATATAGTTCTGTATTTTGCATCCACCAAAGGTTTACAAATTTTCCCCTATTGATGCATAATTAGATAATTTACATTTTATTAACAGCATTAAACTTCAAGATTGGCAATCTGATTTTTGCTTAAAATTTTACTGAAAGAATGTCAACAAATTTGCAGAGTTTGCTCCACAAAAGTAATATTCCCTCCAATATATGTTTGTACTTTAATGCACATTTCCTTATGTTTTATAGGAGTAGAGAAAGATTTACCTGTAGTATAAACTGTCTCTTTAGTAAACTCTAATTTGTGTCTTTTAGGCTATAATTAAATTCAGTCTGTCTTTTGTGGTTTTACCTATATTGAAAAGGTATTAATAGAAATTACCATTCTGAATGACTGTTCTGCATCAGGAATATTGATAAGAAATTTATTTGAAATCTAGTACTTTCATTTAATACTCATAAAGATTATGGTATTGTTTTATGTATTTCTAGATATCAAATTATTACCTCTGTACTTGTTGGTGACTTCATTATCTCTTTTCAAACATCAGGGACACATTTTGTTTCTTCTTTCATTTTCAGTTAGCAAATGTGACTTCATTTATATTTAATGGAATATGTAAAAAACAAATTTATTTGTTTGCAAGGATATTAAGATAGCGTTACAAACGATTAGGCTTCAGGTTGCAAAGATTTTACACATGCTATCTCTTATCACTAAACTGGTACTAGCTCACCTAACTTAAATCTATGTACTATTGTTTCTCCACTGGTAAAACACAAATAATATTGATATCCAACATTGCAGGAATGACTACAATAGAAAACAAAAAGAGAATTAAATGAGTCTGTGTAATATGTATGCTGTATTAGAATGTCTGACACAGCATATTTAAATCAGAAATATTTCATTAAAATGCTTTTAATATAGCCAGTCAAAAGCTGAACAGAAATAATTTTTCTAACCTATTCTTTTTATTTTTTTATTTTAAAAATAAAAGGAAGAAAACATTAACAGACAGACAACATTTTACAAAATAGCACTATTGTTTTTTTAAAAAACTGAAAGAAAAATGTTAAGGAGAAATGTTCTCTGTGAACATTATTTTACCAATTCTAACCCAAAGCTATAGCAGAAATTAAAATTTGTATGAAGAAAGATAATTACATGAATATTGTAGATCAGAAATTCAGAATTTAAAAAATTATGTTAGAGAGTTTTTAATCAGGTTTTTTTATTGCCTCCATGTATAATCTACTTAATATTGCTTTAGAAATTTCTAAAACTACAAAATGTTATAGTAAATGGAGTAAAATCCTTGTTTTTAAATGTTTAATGTCTCAGAGTTATTGGCTTCATATATGATCCAAATATCTCTTAGGTTGAATAGTCATCCCCCACGAACTCTCTGCCACAGCTATTCACTCACTTGTGCATTTTTTCCACACACATTTCATGTCATATAACTAAAAATAAGATCTATTTTAATAAATTATTCAGATATATACTCCTATTACATTTGAAGCATAAAATGTGATTGATCAGATGCTGCCAGAATGTTATATGGGATATAAAAATCAAATAAATAGAATTTATAATTGGTGAATGTCATAAAATTAATTATCTGGATATATGGAATATTCTACACTATTTAAAATTACCATCTGGAATCAAGATTACATAATTTATTGTTTTCTGTGTTTGCCAAACTGACACAATTTTCAGCCAATGATTTCAGCGGGGAACGTGTTAGAAAATTTCATGATGTCTTTATTTTAAAGGTTAGAGAGTGATGTTTATCAGGCTTTCTCATATATTTACTGCTTTCTGATACCGTTTTGTGATAACAATTTGCAGGCAGGGAAACACAAATCAGAGAAAAAAATGTAAATTATGAGTGACAAAAATAGATGAGGCACAAGGATCCCTCTCCCCAAGCCCCAAATAAGTACTTGTTTCCCACTATAGGGAATGTTGCCTGCTCTGGTCTGTCCTTTAGAAGTTCACATCAGTCATCATGGTCTACTTCTCAAATCTGCAAAGAGAGAATCCAACTAGCTCAAGAATTGAACACAAGTATTTTCCAACTAAATTGTCTCACTTGTAAAAATTAAGTATTATTTTTCCCAAGAAATACACTTATTCAAGTCTTTAACTTATAAACTGCTGGTATACAATTTTAAAATGTTCCCTAGGATTGTAACCTTTAGTAATCTACATGCCTACTTTATCTTTATCTATTATTGATGATTAACCATTTCTTATATTGCTTATAAACTTAGGTTCCAGAGCACACATCAAGTATCAAGTTCACCTGAAAATATGAACTCACGTCAAATTTTAACATTAACATTTGTAGGAAAAGAAAATATTTTCACTCTTTTCAATGCCCCTGACTGTAGCTCTCTCTAAAAGAGGATTAATTTTTAAAAACACATTTTTAAATGTGTATATCATTTACATACACATGAGAGAAAACAGACATCAGTAAATCACTAGAAACTTCCTCAGAAAAAGTTCTTAAACTTCAAGTTTATTACAATCATTTCTGGAAAGAAAGAAAAATGATGTGAGGCAAGATTCCATTATGACAAGTTGACCAAACAAAACAAAGCCTTCTCTGCAAAGCTAAGGTTTCTTTTGCAGAGTTATGTCTACACCTTCTCCATTTTTATGGGTGTCTGGCGACGTCCTTCTCTTCCTGGTACATAGAGAGGAATTTTCTCCATAGATAAGAATTTCCCTTACAAAAGCCTTACAAAATTTCAGAGATACTCCTATGTCTGAAGTTTCTCAACATAATCAGCTCAAAATAAGCAATATGCCAACAATTTGTGTTTCAGGGTGGCATATTTTGTTCTCTTAAGTAATATAATGGGAGGGGGCTGGGGATTTAGCTCAGTGGCAAAAGCGCCTGCCTGGCAAGCGCGAGGTCGTGAGTTCGGTTCCCGGTACCGGAGAAAAACCAAAAAAAAAAAAAAAATAAAAAAAAAAAAATAAAAAAGTAATATAATGGGAATGGGTGCCTCTATTACATATCTGTGCAGTGACAATTTCAAAGAAAGGACAGTGTTAAGGAATGAGCAGATCTAGGGCCAACTTAGACTTTAAGTACAAAATGACTCCTCCATCCATGCCATCTCTATAATAAGAGAAACACAATTGATCCTTCACAACCAGATGCAAAGTGCTCACATAGGAGAAAGTGTAGCTGCTAGCTGCCATTTGGATGAACCAAGTGAATGAGCTGGCCCACATAAAACTGTACTTACTGAAGGACAATGTACCTACCCCTAAAACTGTTTACATCAGTGTTATTGTCTCCTTAGCAAGGACTAAGGTAGTGTGTGATTTTCCCATGGGTTGCAGAAGCAGAAGCCAATATCACTGAGTATGTCCATGTTGATATTCACACACACACACACACACACACACACATACCTCATGAAAAAGCATCTTGGTACTATAGGCCAAAATGTGTATTTTGGATAAGGATTATTTTTGTCCATTTGTATATAGTATAGTAATACACTTGGATTTTAAAATACCATACAGCTTTAAAATACTATGATTACAATAAATTTTGAGATGTTTAAGTTGAATTAGAGGGAGTAAAATTTTCAGTGGCAACCAGTAAAAAATCCAGCTTTGCTGACGGACCTGAGGGAAACTGCCAGTGATGCAGAATGATAGATGACAGGATGCATCATGTCAAACCACACATGGGAGGGTATAAGTATTATTTTGTTTTGCTGTATTTCTATCTTCGAGGTACGTCGTATGATGTGATGTTTCTTTGGCAGTAAGATAGAAAGCAGAGATTAAAGCCATCCTATAATGAAGACTAATGAAGCTGCCAGAATTCATGAAAACAGTAGTATCCCTTTAAATATATTTCTGAGATATCTACAAACATATTTTATAATAGAATACTTTCATAATTAGAGCATATAAATTTAATAGAAAACTTACTGGATAAATAAATTCCTTTTGTAAATCTCTTTGTAAAAGTAAAAGTCAACTCTCAATTTACTAAGTATGTATGAAGCTTTCTCTCTTAAGAATATTATGTATATTCAAACTTCTGGGAGCATATGTTACACAAATCTACAATGAAATGATATATAGCAAAATTAAAATATTCAGAAATAGCCAATGTCAGTCTACACTGAGGATATAATCTTTCTTGTTGCAAGACATTTATTTATAAAAATATGTTAAATGTAATAGTTATAAGCAAAAACAACACAAAATGTAGAACAACAATATAATTTACATAATTTTCCTCTAAAGAGATCAAAGTGCTCTCTAGTGATTTCCTCATTTAATCTAAACTCTACCTTACTTCAAAAGGAACTGAATCTATCACCTATACAAGATTGTGAATTCCAAGTTCTCTTTATAGTTTTTAAAGTAAAACAACTTAAATCAGATGAAATCATTGTAAGTGTGCTTAAACGCTCACTATGAGACTACGGAGATTATTATCAATAGAACTCTAAAATCACATATTTTAAGACAAAAATTCTTGCGACTCAATCCTATTCTAGGTAGAATTGTAAGCATTTGTAGGAAAGCTATGAATTTCTTCATTAAGACAATGGAATTTTTCACCAGTTTATTTGCTATGAATCATTCAGCCAAAGGCATTGAAATTTCTATTCTCCTTTCCAAGTCCTCCTGCTAGCCAGTCTTTCTTTCACAAAGAAAATTATAGAAGGTTTGTTTGACATTTTGTTATAGACAATAAGAATTGTGTGTACATGTATGTGGGTGTACATTATATTCATTTTCCCTAAATGTCATATATTAAAACCTTAATCCAAATGTGATATCATTAGGACATAAGCCCACAGAAGGTAATGTGGTCAGAGGGATGGAGTTGTCATATATGGGGTTAGTGCTTACTGAGAAATGGCCAGAAAATTGGGTAACATTTTCTGCCAGGTAAGGATACAAGAAGTCAGTATTCCAAAGCCTAGGAAGGGGCTCTCACTTGAACAGCCCATGATTGCACCCTTCTCTTAGACCTCCAGAACTGTGAGAAATAAATTGCTGTTATGTGTAAGATTCTCAAGCTATAGGACTTTGCTAACTAAGACAATATGATATAACAAAGTTAGGAACCAGACCTCCTCTACTCTGTGATCATACATTCATCTGTTTATTTTTCCTTTAGGACAATTGTAAACTAACGTAGGGCTTTTAGACTTACTCTTTCTTCTGCTTGGGTCTCTGCTTGGTATTTGCAGAGGTCTCTGTCACATTCACTTCATTTAGGTTCTTGCTCACAAGTCAGGTCTTCATGAAATTCTATCTTGAACACTCTATTGAAAGAATCTGCTAATCTTGGCAACTTCATTGAAAATAACAATATGTAATATGAGAACTACTGTTAATTCCTATCACTTTGTTGTGAAACCCTGTATCATTTTTATTGTTTTAGTCTATGTTGTTGTTACTTTGCTATTTTTTTAATTTCTCTAAAATAAAAAAGAATGCATACCTCTAGTAGAACAAGACTTCTATGCATTGTATTTGATTTTTTAATTTATAATTTTATATATACATTTTTTTGTACTGGGAA